ATCCCTGTCTTCTTCAAGTGCAACTTCGAGATTGTGCTTGAGACTTTCATCCACTTCTTCATACTCATCGTTCTCGTCTTCCATTTCGGTGGGACTTTTGGAGTCTACTGGTGCGGGCACTTCATTATTCTCGATGGCCTTACGCAAGGCCAGGTAGGCGAAGTAGTCAAGATAGTAAGAAGCACCATACCACGACATCACCACCACCATAGCTACAATCATTAAGGAGTGGAATACGAAGCTGCACCAAGCCAAAAGGGCTATCAAATTCAGAACAAAGTTGACGACGATGTTCAGACCCACCCATATCAGCGTTTGAACACTGCAAGTGAATAAAAAGTAGATTTAAAGATTGTGCATACCCACCACTTTTACCAATTTGGTGAAGAAATGTTTATTCTAAGTGCATTTGGACCGCATCGAAAGAGACAAACGGTTATCAGCGATCAAGTCATAAAAATGTGTTACTTTGTGGATCAATGGGTAAAGTGGACCTACATTTTAGAGATGCGTTTGAAGAAATTTATTTTTGAAAAGTATTTTGTACGAAGATAGCGGTAATTATCATTGTATTTTTCATTCGGCTTGACAATCACGTGCACGATGATGAAATAGAGTAGCTAAAAATTAAAAAAAGCACTAATGTTGATCAAGAAGAAGTAGTTTGCATCCATATGTATTATTATTACCTCGGACTGACCTATACGCGCGTGTGGAGATTAAACAATGGACAATCTTGACAAATCCACTGATTTCCTTTGCCTAATTTCAGACACCCAATATGCTTGAAATTCAGAATATAGTAACTATGCTTGATATCAGAAAATATAAAGGAAGTTGATTTAAAAGGGAAACAACTCTAATCTAATAAAATTCCACAACTCTGTTCAATACCCAAAGCAGAAAAGGAAGAAATTATGAAAAAAAGGAACTTTGAAGTCAATCATTCTAGGTCGAGCGAAAAATAGGTTCGCAAAGCGTGCCACCAGTTTCAACAACAGCCACTTACGCAAGAATAAACTTTTAGCTCGTGGTTTGGAAAATGCTTTTAAGAACAGCTAAAATTTTGCTAGGAAGCGAAATCACATTGCCTCTCCAAAGCCAATATTAAAGTAAATGCATGCAGTAAGACCGATTGCAAACTTGGTGATATTATTCTTTGATGATTACTTGCAGTATTTTTTCAGTGATTTCAGCACAAAGTACGAAGAGTCAAATTGACCTACTGTATGTGCTATGAAGAAAGCGTTCGGAATGACCAATAGGTAGATCCAGTCACCCATGGGATTAAATACGGAGGCAGTGGTATTCCCATCTGTGTTGGCAAAGTTTGTCCACCACGGGTTAGAACATTTTTCTGGGAACCAACGCACGCTTAAACATACAAAATCCAGCGATATCACATCTTAACCAAGCATTATTAAGGTACCTATACGAGTACGCGACTGAAAGTTGTACATGAACGACAGGACTGTATTCAGATGTAGAACAAGATCCGTAAAGTTCAACAGTAAACTCTGGAGCTTAGTGCATAGTAGTTTTTCAGATACTGAAGTGATTTTATATGATGGGTGCGGTGTAGTAAGGATCGAAATGCAATACATAATTCATTTGGCCACAAGTGAGGCGTTTATCTCCATACATCCCAAATAAAAAAGCCGAAAATAGATATCGAAATTCAGTGCTTATAAACGTTTGAATAATACAGCTTAAAAGAAGGATAATGAGTAGACCTTGGAATATGTTGTATTTTCAATCATAAATCTGCCCAAATTAAAACTACAAATTTCCTCATAGGCAAGGTGATTGCATTCAACGGATCATACTTGTTCCAAAAATAAAATTAGTACCAAGACAAGAAACTCACCAGTATGAGATGAGAGGTGGTAAAATATGAATAAAACAGGAAGTCATCTTGTCGTAGTTGTGAAAAACAAAGGAATTCCGAAAAAGAATTATTGCACTATAGACAGTTGAGTTGGCCAAACCAAAGAGAACGAGGAATGTAGGAGCAGAGTATGGAACACCCCTATAACAACGTCACAGAGGCGAAAACAGTTCACTTACCAAATAAAAATGAGAGCGTACACATTGACAAAGTAGCATGGTCCCAACATGAACAAGATATTGTATGATCGCCTGAGAGTAAGTGCATAAAATATTTCTTACGTGTAGGCTATGACGCGAAATATCATCAAAATAACGAATATGATCGTCAAGAAAAGAAACAATAGGGGAGGACTGTATACTGCACAGAAGACAAAAACTGTGAGCAGTGAAACGGACAGGACGAAAGTGATTTTGTTGACCAAAACGGGTGGTACTAACTAAAAAATTAGACGCATCACCGAAAACATACTCTTTTTCGTTCTGTAGTACCCATCAGCTTGGTGGATGCTCTATAGGTGGATCTATCTTACAAACGCCTTGATGCTTAAGAACAATCAGCAAGCATTGGAAGAATCACTAACCCACTGTTATAAACGCATAGAGAGGCTGAGGATGGTAATCACAAAAATAAAACAAATTCAAGGCTAAGCAATTGTCCTCGAAAATGTCTCACTAATATGGGGAACTAGATGTCAATAATGACAGCACATAGGACCATTACAAAATGCGACTAGTTTACGTTAGAGATTTTGGAGCACATAATTGATGGGAATAAAATGTTTTTTTTCAAACACGTAGGCACAAATCTTAGCATATTGAGAATACCACAAGGTAAAACGTATTAAGTTTTGCTAGCTTGTAGGCCACCCCGCGCGTACAAGTGCAAATCCGCTAGACATCAGGTGGCCACATAAACTAAGTATTATACTGCGCACTACCCATTTAAGCCACGTTCTTGACTCTGCTCTAGTCTCTTGCGCCAACCATCACCATTCGACGCCACAATCTAACGTCCATGAAACATTTGCGCCCGTTGGCATACTTTGTTTATATGACTACCTGACGATTGGCGGTCAATTGAGAATTTGCCTTGACCCTGTACACGTCGGCTGGCCTTAGAGCCACGCCCAGGCCCCATACGTATATTCAACCTCATGCTTTCTTCCACCCTATGGGAAGCCAAGGGACACTACACCCGTCATCAACGACTATCAGACTGAATAGCCTCAATTGCACCTGAAGGTAGAATCGATCTAAGGACAGGAATCGTAGCAAGGAACTTCTGTTGACTATCAACTATGTTTACTGTAGCGTCCCGCGGCTTTCTATAGGGTGGAAAAAGGCACGAGGTTGGATATATGTATTCCGAGACGACAGGACAAATGGGGCCTGAGGGTGGCCCGAAGGCCAGTCCACGGGTACAAGGGCCAAACAAATCCTCAAGTGACCGCCAAAAGCTAGGTAGTCACATAAACCTAGCCTTACACTGTCCCTCTCTTCTTTTGAGCAAAGTCCTCGGCGCTCCCCTTGGTGCACCTCCCACGCCAGCCATCACAGCATATTCGGTACTACAAGAAAGCACCCACGAGCCAACCGCGCCAGTCGACAGATAGCATCACACTGAGGAACCGTACCTGGTCTTTATGGCAGCTTCAACTGCATCTGCATTTATGTCCGGTGTGACAACCAGATTCGGGACCGCATACATCTGTTGACCATCAATTGCTTCCAGGACTAGACGGTGGTACTCTGGTCTGAAACATATATGTTACAGGGGAAACGGGACGCGCCACTATCCCGTATGTAAGGGGAGTCGTAG